GCACGTTTTCGTCGCAGGTAAGCCGCCTATTATTGGGGTCGATCGATGACGTGTCATAGTACAAAACGTTAAGGGCAAGACAGAGTGTCGTGAAATTGGCTAGCGTGAAATTTTTCTTCGGTTTCCTACGCATGACGCACGCAGGTATAAAGAGGTAAGACTCGGTGTGCGTATCTCTGTGCGTGTCGAGAACGATGCACGGCAATTGAACGCGGCAGCGTGTAGACTCGACCGATAATTATTCCGAAACGTGGTTGATTCTCCTTGCAACGGGTGTTTGCCTTTTCTTTTTATCTCTCTCTCCCCCTCCTTCTTTCTCCATTTTTTCTTTTCACGGTAGCGTGAAAACCGCGATCGAGCGGCGTCGCGTGCAGACGCCGCTTCGTGTCGAAGGTACGAAGTCGTCATCGTCGGTCTGCCGCAGCTGCAGCGCACGTCCGATTGGTGGAAGGAGATCGCGAAACTCGCTCGCAAAAAGCGATCCGTCATTATACGAGCGCTCGGAGAACGGCCTCGTTTGCTCTCCGTGCGATTTTCCACGCGACGCCACGGATCGCCGTTGAGAAACGGAGCGAATGCGGATAGATAAACGCGGATCGTCGCGCCGAGGCGAGCGTGTCATCGCGAGCTTATCATAAATTTTGAAGGAAAAAAATACACACACATGCCGCACCCACCGTGCGATAATTTCGATCGATGCGAATGCGCTTCACGACGATCCAACGTACGACAGAACGTTCCGTCCGTCGAGCCGACGAGCAAAAATAATCTCGAAAATGAATACGCGTTTTCCGATATTAGTGAAAAATGTAGAATTTATAATATAATAATAAATATAATAATAAAGTAGAAAAATAGGTAGAAACAGAGTCGGTGAAATTGATTCGGAAGAAATATCGTAACCTACAAGATTATAAATGTACCTCGAAGTCCTTTATTGCAATTTTATTGATGTCTTTTAATCTCTCTCCGGAATCGTATAATTTTTTTTATGTAAATCAATTTTATGTTCCCGTAAAAATATTGAAATATTGAAATACTGTTCTATGCACGCGAGAAAAATTTCGTACAACTCGAATAGTTTACGAGACACGTTGTGTTTTATGTCGAAATAAAATACGAAGTATCTCGTAAAACATTGATTTTTTTAGCAGCCCGCATCGATATTTTTATACGCAGATAGCTTTGAAAAAAATCGAGTTACTTTAAAAGAATCATGCGTTTAAAAACGTAAATAGAAAAATTCTGAAATTTCAACTTGATATTTGAACTTTAAATCTGTCTCTGTTCTATTTATTCTTTTTTTTTTTATTTCTAAACTGTTTTTGTTTATTCAGTTTGATCGTGAAAAGCAATGGCTGTCGAAAATTGTTTCAAAATTCGACGAAATACTCCGCGCGTAATAACAGCAGGCAAAGTTACTATAGATATTTTTATTAAATTCTCAACCACAACTGCATAATATTACATCACAGGCACATGTAAAACGCAGCGTTATGTGATATCGATAACAGCGAGAAGGCGCGAATGCAGAAAACGTCGGCGTCTCCGGTTCGCGCTGCTCGCTACGAAGCTCGCTCGCTCGCTCGCTCGCTCAACGACGCGACGTTGTTTTGCGAAATTGAGCTCGTAATCAACAGCGATAATAGTCGCAGCCACGCACGTGCCTTCGATGCACATTCTACGTGCGTGTATACATGCACACGTGTGCACGCCGCGCCGATCTTGACCGACTCGTTTATTATTACGGGGCGACATCCATCATCGTACAGACCGCTTCCGATAAACTGTTCTCGTCTGTTCTCGCGCAAACGATCGCCTTCCCGAAAATCGAATCGAGCTAAATGCGTTTCACGCCGCTCTCGAAAACCTCCTGTTCCGTTTCTCGAAAACTTCGACCAGGAAGAGAAGAATACTAACGCGCGCGCGCGCGAGCACTGACACACTATGCATATATACGTAATACACGTGTATATACATCATAGTCAACGTATTTGCCGTATTTTACAAGGGATCTTGGAGAAAAGCTTACAAATAAATTCTTTTGGATAAAATTCTTTATATTCTTCGCATATGAAAATAAAAGTGTATAAAGCTATTTACATTTATCAAGCAAAACATTATATAAAGAAATATATATATTTTTTTAACTTTTTCTCATGCTTAAAAATTCATTCATATTTCGTTTCACGTTTTGAAATGTCTTTCAGTTTATGATTTACAAATAAAAATGAAAAGTTTGGTTTAAACGTGAGCTATAAATAAGTTAAAATGTGGGTTAAATTGATCCTCATAGCATTTATGTACGTCGAAAAAGTCACGTGGGCACTTACGGATTGAGGAAAATATTCGGATGAGATTTTGAAATATAACGGTATGTGACAGAGATTTTGTTTTCCAGGAATAGAGATCTAGTTAGTCTCTTTCTTTTGCTCTTACGAGTGTTAACACGCGCCACAGCGACTCCCGGAAAAAAAATACGATGCGGGAGTTTTTCAAGTTGCGTTCTGTGCAATTCGAGAAGCTGTTGGAAATTCTGGACTGGAATCTTCCTTCGCTTCGGTGCTCACGTTGTTGACGTGCGAGGAGGAATGTGGATCGGGGTCTCTGGATCGCAGCGGCGATCGCAACAAGGACGACCGCGTCGATCTCCAGGAGGTCAATTGTGTATCTTGAAACGAGATGAAAATTACAAACACGGAGAAATTTGCTAGATTCAGGCATATATCGGTCTGTTTTTTTTTTTTTTGTTAGCTGAACTAGCATACGCTTGTACTTTAAAATGAAATAGATGTTTATTTGAAGTGCGACAGAAGCGAGATAGAAAGTTTTAGTTTGCAGGAATAGAAAAAACAAACCTATGGAGCCGCGGGCATTCCGGTGAATTTTCTCGCTTTCGTAATTTTCATTTTCGTTTCGAGATACAAGAATCGACCTCCCTCCCTCTCCCCTCCCCAGAAAGATCTCGTGGGCTGTTCGTACCGTATGGCGGAACGCGGGCAAAACGCGCGAACGGGGTAAACCGCGTCGCGCGTGGCACCAAGAGGATCACCCGTGAGAGACCGCCGCGCGGAGAGGACGAGGCGTTACGAGAAAGGGGTCGGAGGAGGGGGGGGGGAGGAGGGCAAGACCGCGCGAGTGAGCCGAGGAAATCGCATACGAGGGGGAGGCCCCCCCCTTTTCTGTGTGTGTGTAACGTACCTCGCGTAGGTATATCACACGTTGTTCGCTAGTTTGTTCGCAACGCCTTACCGGCTGGCCCCAGAAGACGCAAAGGTGCCCCTTCATCCCGACGACGACTTTGCGTCGAGGACCGACGACGTGGTTCCGACGCGACCGGATCGCCGAACGTCAGCCGACGACGACGACGACGTACGACGCGTCGGCGACGAGCCGCCGTTCCCGGGTACGTCGTCGACTTCGTTAGTCGCGCTCTCTCTCTTTTCTCTCTCTTCTTCTCTCTTCTTTCTTCTTCTCTCTCTCTCTCTCTCTCTCTCTCTCACTCTCTCACTCTTCCGTCGAGTACTCCGACCGCGGGAAGGGGCGACCAGGGAGGAGGGAGTCCTCAATTCTATGACACTAGGGAGACGCACATGACGCAGCTATCGCGGCTCCCGCGTATCCCCGAGGGATGGGCGCGTTGTCCCGGAAACTACGCCACGTAAGGCGCACGATTAATATCGTCACTGCAATCCGTTAACGACGAACAACGACGTCGCGGTAGTAACATGGCCAGACTGGACTCGCACCGAACTCCGAATGCACCGTGACCGTTCCCCCCAAGCGTGACTATCCGTCCTCGCTTCCCACCAGATGGAGACGCTTCGGGCCCCGCATCGCTTCCTCCTTTATCCCATCGAGCGACACTCGACCCGCCACCTGTCGGCGCTGGACGGAAGTGAAGAGACGCGCGGCGCGTCATCGTCGAGAAACATTCTTTTAACTTCAAGTAATTGCTCTTCAAGTAATTACTACTTTATTAAAACTTTTGCTGTCTAATTAAAAATGTTGTGTTTCATCTTGTAATTGTTTTATCGCTCGAAGTAATCTAATCTTAAAAAAAAATTACGACATTTTATTTGAAATAAATAATACTTCTTGAAATTAATTTTTAATTTAATTGAAATTTAATTTTAACTTTTTGACTAAGTGACTTTTCTCACGCTTCAAGTTTTAATGTAATTGAATTAATTTTAATATTATCTTTTTATTTTATTTTTTAACGTCATCATATTAAGATGGTATTCCATATTCTAAGTAAATCTGTTACTAATCTGGAAACAGGTTTGCTTATTGGAGATATAGAATACATATTACTCTGACAAGGTTAAAATCCGTTTATTTCGATCTGCATCGCCTCCACAGAAAAACATAAGCCAATAAGTGGAAGACAGCGTAAATGATCGCCATGAGGACGATGTCGGGCCAGAAGTTGCTCTCGTCAAAGTCGTACCGATCCAACACCTCGGCGCCTTCGGTGAGACAGGGTAGCTCGGTTGTTTCGCAGGCTGTTCACAGGAAACAGATCCGTTACGCGTCTCATAGAGGAGCGATGCTCGATGAAACTCACTTATATTATGCACGCCTCTCCATTGGATAATAGTGAGAGCTTCCGTGGAGTGCAGCAACCAGGAAACGTACCTCAGCCATCGAACGTATACAGGCAGGGAGCTGCCAATCGATAAAGAAAATAAAAATCCACAATTATAATTATAATAAGAAAAAGAAGAGTATCAAGTTGATTTATAAATAAATTTCGATGCAGGTAGAGTATAATTGTCCAAGAATTGATTATATGTCATATTCGCTAAATTTTATTTAGTCTAATATTTAGCCTAATTAGCAAATTGTTTTAATTTAATAAATAAAACGACAAGTTTATCAATTTTTATTAATAACATAAATAAAAAAATTAATTTTAGAAATAAATTTTAAGAATCGATGGGAATGGAATACGATAATAAATACCCGAGTTTGATGAAAGGTCCCATGGTTATCATGAGGATGTAATCGAAGGGCACGAGGTAGGCCATCGCCAATGGCACGCTCTGGTAGACGGCTGAGAAGAAACACCCTGAAACGTGAAGGTTCGCTATAAATGGGTGTGCAATCTATCGTCAGAATACAATTCGAATGGACGGAAACGCTTACCGCAGGCAGTAGATACGTTCATCGTGAATATAACTACCAAAATGGTCAGGCCGAGGGCGTCCATCGCAGGACGCAGACCAGCGAGCCAATACATTATCACGGTGAACAGTACTGGTTCCACCAGCAACCCAGGTACCTGAAAATTTTAATCTGTACAACTCGTACATGCATGTAGGTCCATTTAAAGATTTGTCTCACCAGCGATATCATCCGCGCCAAGTAGTAAAGATGAACGGGGTACATGCCCGCTTTATATTCGCGAAGAAGAAGCGGCAATTCTTGCGGGATCAACGCCAGGGTCGCGTACATGGGGAAGAACGCGTTCTCGCATACCAGAAGATATATGACACCATCCACTGCTTGAATGCCCAACTGATCGAGGTCGATGGCACCCACGAAACACAGACCAGCGATCGTTGCGATAGTCTGTAACGCGATCCGTCATTAATTTTCACGTAATTAATAATAGATTCGATAACAAATAAGATAAATATATATATATTATGGAAAAATAAGATGAAAATGAAAAATGAAATAATAATTGCTGTCAAGAAGCGAGATTATAACTTAAAGGTTGATTCTTGTTATCCATCAAACAGGCGACAAACAAGCTTTTGTCAATAATTTGTCGTGTTTTTTATATTTTATATTTGTATTTAATCTTTAATTGGATCTTAATGTTCGAAAAAAATACGATTCAAAATATTCTCGTGATTGCTTACTATTTTCTGCAGTATCCTTATAAACTGCACCGAGGGATCTCGCACAACTTGCAAGAATCCGCGATGTATTAACCAATAAAGTCGCAACCAGCAGCGCGATTCTATGCTAAATTAGAAATTACAGTATAAACAATATAATTAAAGTATCTTAAATATTTGTCGATATATTTGACAATTCGATTTTCATAGAATTCTTTTACACAGAAGATACTTACAAAACGCATGATTCATGAATATTTTCCTCTATCTGAAAAAATTCCCTTTTATCGTCAATCATTAACAATTGTTTCCGCAATAACTCTACTTACGGGACACTGAACGGCGTTGAATTTCTGTTGCAATACAATATCGATCTCATTGCAGGCTTCGCTCGTGAGAAACGCGTCGCAGATCTTCTGCGCGACTCTTCCGCTACCATCCGCATCGTTAGATCCTGCAATCGCCAGAATCGCCACGAGGAAATCGGCCGGATTATAATTGTCCGGACACTCGTAGCCTTGACTATAAGCAACAATAGCAATGACAATGAGTGTTTCAATTTAACATATTCTAGAGAACATTTTTAAAAATAAAACTAAATAAAACGCAGAAAGAAGATAAAGTTATATCAAACCAGAAAGAAGAAGGTAGTATAAAAGGAATAAGGAAGTAGTATAAAAATTACTCGATGCAATTATTTATTTGCTTTAAACATACCTGGAAAAGAACTTTATCGCTTGTGCAGTGGTGCCAGCGAATGCCACTCTACCGCCGGCCAAGAGGATTATACGATGGAAACTGTCGAAGATAGTGGAACTTGGTTGATGTATGGTGCACAGGACCGTACGGTTCTTCGACGCAAAGGCTGTCAAGTGCGACACGAGGACGCCGGCCGAATGCGCGTCCAGCCCCGTCGTCGGCTCGTCCAAGAACAGTATTTCTGGATCCGTCAATAGCTGAAAGAAAAATCGGCGGATTCGCGCGGAGCGCTGACTAAAATATGCACCGCCAGATACGCACTTCCGTGGCGAAGGCCAGCCTCTTTTTTTCCCCGCCTGACAGAACCTTGCCATCATCGCCGTCGCCGATACGAGCGTCGCGTCTTTCAATCAGACCGACGTCCCTTAGCAAGCGATCGATTTTGAAACGAATGTCCGAGGTGCGGACTCTCCCGTCTAATTTCATTCTAGCCTGATGAAAATTTAAGGATTTAGATACAACGAAAAAAATTAAGAATTAATAATAGCATAGAGTTAATAAAATTATAATAGAGATTAGAAATAGAGAATTAATATTTGATAAATGGATAATTATCTTTTATATCTTACGATCAAAAAATATTCATTGGAAAGTAAAAATTTTTTGCTCTCTAAATTCTTAATCTCGTTTGTTACATCCGAATCCTAAAGATGTAGAATAATATTTGAACTCGATGAAGTAAAGTTTTACCATGAACCAGATGTGCTCGATCACCGTTATGGTCCCGATAAACATGTCTTCCTGATGCATAAAGCCGCTGTGATGTCTCATATACGAGGAGGTGACCAATGCGTCATTCACGTGAACATCACCGTGCGTCACGACACCAGCTTTAAGCGAAAAAAGAAAAGAGCAAACTTCGAATATTTTCTTCTTCTACAATTACATTATTATACGACTATGTATGAGAATTATATTTACACTCCGTGCGAAATGCTAATGCTGTCATCAGCGAGCTTTTTCCAGCGCCGCTTTGAGAGGACAATGACACATGGAGAGGAAACGGTTTCGATTACAAACAAGATGCCAATTAAGGCGTACAATATAACTGATCGCAGATAACGTACCTGCCACCTAAGATCGCGGTGAGTTCGCCAGGTCGAGCAAAACCGCGGACTAGAAAGGCAACAAATATTATCATCTTTTTATTTTGCATCACGTGCGAGGTATAATATTTTAAATACCATTGTTGATGAGCTGTTTGCTTACGATGCGTTTGTTTTGATCCACTGCGAAAACCGATAAGTTTTCCCAAGAAAGCATCGTACCTGCTGTATGTCGTGATGCATCCATAACTTTCCGAACTTGATATGAGAACGTAAAATGAATTTTTTTAGCAATTTCCTTTTAGAAAGATGAAATATTTTCATTCGATAATTGCAAAAGTAAATATTCAAACACGATAAATATTATGATAAACGCGATAAAATTAAGTATCTGATTGTTGAACTTGTGTATGTATATGTCTTATTTATTTTTAATAAATCACGGCATTAAAATCATAAAATGCACAGAGATAATTTTTTATCTCTTCACTATGATGTTTTGGAAACATCTCGTGTTTCGGTCTAGCGTTATATAATTAATACAACGATGTAATACAACGATTAATACAACGAAAAAATGCATATGTAAAATAATATTGAAGTTAAAAAAGATTAAGAATATATTAAAAACAATACATTTTAATTTGTCGACTTGTAAATATTCACATTTTTACTGAAATTTTTATAAGAAAAATTAAAATATTATATTTTTAAACTACTGGTACAAAAGATTTTTATTTTAAAGGCAGAATTTAGACTATAAAATGTCTTAAAGATATGAAAAGTCTTAAAAGCATTTTTTTAAAGATGATTGAAAGACGTTTTCAAGATGTCGTACATCTTCGATTTTGAATTGATTGTCTAAAGGCATACACAGATTTTATAATTTACAATTTATCATTTACCTGCTTCTCAAATTATATTTGTATTTTTACAACGTGAGATAATTGGTGTATATTCCAATAAAGATGAAACAATCTGCCGACGCACTGATCTTGGAAATTATATGTTTGTAGAATGCTGAGAAACCGATGAAACGAGACGTGGGCCCAAGATTGACACTAAAAGCACAACTCTCGCAGGAGTCGCGTTTGCTTCTCGTCAACGCAAGTAATTCTACCACCACTCGACGCACCTGATGCACTTCGCTCGCAGCTCGCTTCCCTTTTTGCCTTTCTTTGCGACCGAATACCTCGCACGCATGAACGCAACTCAAGCACTAATGTCGAAGAAATTCCATCGATCGCAAAAAGCTGACACGTGCGAAAAATAAAAAGTTTGTTTTTTTTCCTCAGACACAGGATATTAGAAACTAATTAATAACGCATTAATTATCAAATTTTATTGGATTACTATTACTTGTAAATCGCGAAATCATTACGATTGTCGCAGAGACGACGTTAAATTTATCTGAAATATCGTGAAATTAAGACGTATAACGATTATGCAGGGTGGTAATCTGACCCTCGCAGATCGATAGTTCATTCGTGGATACGTGAATAAGCGCACGAACATTCACCCCCCAATGTTTTTCCTGCTTCCGAAGAATAGTCGTTTCCATCGTAGCGAACGTTCGTGACTCAGGGGACTCGTGGTAATCGAGAACCGAAACCTTATATGTGTGTCAAGCGAGACAGGCGAGTTGGCAGTCCGATCTATTTCGCTATTGGAATTGTCGCACGTCGCTTTCTAACGATCGGTATTAAACCAACAACGGCGACAATACCAGCATCCCTTCCTCGTCCTCGTGTTGCCCCGTTTCCAATCGAATAATAATCTCGGCATGATCGTCGAGCCACAGATCGATAACAATATCGAGCGGGTAGTATGATTAGATCTTGACGACCTATTTTTTTTTTTTTTTTTTTTCGTACAACGTAGTCAAAGATCTCTCGAGATTGTTTCTTACGTTCCTATATCGTAACGTGCGGTCACACGGTATGTATGGCAACCGGTTTGTAATAATATCTAGATGCGAACGAAAGAGTGGTCAACCCCGATACAGGAAACGTCGACACGTAGCTGCAACACGTTGTTCCGACACGAGACACATTTTTTTTCAAGTTCCTCTTACGTGGCCTTTATGCGGTCACCACGTGTCAACATCGATACGAGATTCATGAATTATATTTAATGATCATCACGTTTATTGTTAATAAATCTCTAAACTTGTAATTTATTTCAGAATATTCGTTTTATTTTGAATATTTATATTTTTCTGAGAGAGATATTCAGATCAATATACAAGAACTTTATTAAAATTATTTATTAACTATATACTACTTTTAGATTAGAAGAAATCTTTGTTTCTTGCGGATCATGTTTTCATCATCTATATAAGACGATAGAGGCTACTTCGAACGGCAAGTTTTCGATAGCAGCGCGAGAAAAGCTAGAAAGCGGAACACGACGATAAGTGCGAACAAGCAGAGAATGTCCATCCAAAAGTCCTCCTCTTTGAAATTGAAAGTTTGGAGAATCGTGTGTCCCGATTTTGGACACGTTACGTTGCTTCTGGTGCAGGCGATGGAATCGACCTCAGACCATTGATTGATCAAAAGCGCCGCGTTGCCATAACGAAACCAGGATAAATACGAAAACCATACAAAATAGGACGGCACGGATCTGCGAAAAATCGAATATTTCAATTAACATTTCGAACATTAGCGTGCAGAATGATTAGAAATACCCACGCTGTATTTAGGAAGAAGCCGCCAAAAAGCAAGAACGGTATTATAATCGGAGGGCCGACGGAGAGAGCCATGGACACATTGTTGCTGATGCAGGATATTAAATAGCCTGCAAGAAAAAATAGAATCTTGTACAATTATTTAAAAAAAAAAACTAATGTGAATAAAATGTATTCGTGTAAACTCTCGATTACCGAATGAAGTCGACACGTTGGCTACGAGAGCTACTATAGCGGTAGCGACGAAGAAGTGTTTTACATTAGGGTAGAGACCGATCATAGGATAAACAATCGCGGTGAAGATCAACGGTATCGCTAGGAATATCGGCGCTTCCGCTAAAGTCTTGCAGATGAAGTAGACGTCGGTGCGATACATGCCGTTTTTGTGCTCGCGAAGAAATATCGGTAATTCAGCGCAAAATACCTGCGCATAATCAAGTACATTTAATGAAAAAATAGAATATCGACGATATTCGACAGGACAAAATCTTTGACTTTTTAATCATTTTTTTATTTTGTAATTTGTATATAAATGCAAGATATAATTGCTTATGTGGCCAACTACGTACCATTATTTTTAAATAATTATATTTTGATTTTGTCAGTTATCGCGTCAGATAATTATACGAACTAAAATTATAAAAATGTATGATTCGATCGATTTGATGATTTACACATTGCATCTTAAATTCTCACATTAATGACCGCGAAGACATTCTGAAAAGTCATATTGGTAAGGAAAAGGAACAGAGCGCCGTTGATGTTCATCACGCCGTCCTGGTCCATTCGTTGATCGAAGTAAATGACGCCGATCAACAGCGAGACCATCTGTGAAATAGAAAACTCGAGTTTCTTTCTTCGTATATAACTCATCTTTGTATTGTAAAAGACATAAAAAGAATTAAAATACAAGTCTTTTTATTAAATAGATATTTTTCATTCGAATCTTAATTTTGCAAATGAAATAAAATGGAAGTACGATGAACGTACGATGGTTTGTAGGAAGCGGACTTTTATCAGGATCGGTTCCTTAATTATCGACAGCCAGGATCGCCATAGAACCGCGCGGAATTGTTCGCACCAACTCGCTTTGTAAAGCGATCGGCCAGAGTTCTTGGAGTACTTGAATCGTTTGAGGGTATCCTCGAATTCACCGTGGATGGCTTCAGCTTCCAGAGCGATGTTTACTCCGCGTTCGCTTCTCCGGAAGGCGTCGCACGTCGTCTTGATCGCGTGTCTACAAGTCAACTCGCATCCCGGCATCACGGCCAACACTTGCACGAAGAAGTCCGCGGGGTTGTAATTGCTAGGACAGGTAGCCCCGAGTCTGCGACAAGATGCGAATTTGGCGACTTGGATTAGAAATAAACCCCTTCAACTGAACTTACGTCTTGAAGAAAGCGCAGGCTTGCGCGGCTGTACCCATGAAGGCCACTCTACCCTCGGCCATCAGCAGAATCTTGTCGAACAGAGCGAACAGCTCCGAGGAGGGTTGATGCAAAGTGGCGACGACCGTTTTACCGCGCGCTAAATCGAATCGTTCGTTTATTAATCTTTTAAACATCGAATGTAGAATAGTTTCATTCGTAGTACAAGTCCGAATTTTTTTAACGAGTTCAAACTCACCCGCCAATGCTTTTAGGATGGAGACAACTTGATGAGCCATAAAGGAGTCTAAGCCCGATGTCGGCTCATCGCAGAACATCAATGGAGGATCGGTCAGCACCTCAGAGGCGAAGGACAACCTCTTCATCTCGCCCCCCGAAAGACCCTTCACCCTGCCAGGTATCCCAATCACGGTATTCCGGCATTTTGAAAGGGCGAGCTACTTTTGAGACAGACGCTTTAAATACGTATCCTAATAGCAACACCTAATTTATTGCTTACTATTGATCAATGTTACTAATATAAAGCTAATATTAGCTATAAATTAAATGCAAATACAAATGTACATAACGTGGTGTGCTATTTTCTAAATGCGGACCAATATTGAGAATCAATTTGTAAAACAATATTCGCCTCGATAATTCGTATTTCTCGATATTATTATATGTACGCGGAAGAAAATTAATAAGTTTGAACAATTTAACATGACGTTCTAATCTCCATTTCTCCATTTCTCAATATAATTAATAATAATCTCAATTTAATTTATTTATCTTTTTTTCATAATTAAGAAAAGATAAATTGAATCAATTAATAGACATTTCAAAACATAGACAAATTAGTTCAAATTAATTAACATTGATAGAAATGGATATGAGATATCTTAATAAAGTCTATGAGATATTTTTTAAATAAGCATGTTAGGAAGGTTTCTTCAGCTTCTATGTCTATGAACCACTGATTTCGATACCATTCAAGCTACCTCGTCGATGACTTCATTAACTCGCTTGATTCTCTGATTTTGAGGTATTTGCCGATCCATCCGCACTGCTGCCTGAAACATCAGGTGCTCCGTGACGGTCAGTGTGCCGACGAACAAATCGTCCTGCTGCACATAAGCCATTCTCGAGGTAAGGATACCCGGCGATATCCTACGTCCATTGGCGGCCATTAGACCGGTCGAGGATACTCCACGTGCCGAACGGAACGTCAACGCATTCAACAGGGTCGTTTTACCCGCACCTGATGCACCCATGATTACGAGCAGCTCACCAGGATAAGCCACCCCGCACACTGAAATGTTAATTTAGTTCGAAATACGAAATAGCGAAGAGTATTAATAATGAAAGCAAATTTCGCAAATAATGAAAGAGAATAAATAAATATTCACGAAGGCTCAGAAGGCAAGCAGAAAAAGAAATGTTATATAGATAGAAAAAAATCATTTTCATTTTTACATAGACTTTCCTATTTTCATAGTTATTTTACATTTTCTCTTTATATAAGCAGAATACTAATATAGTAGAATGAGTTTCCAGTTTACTCAGTTTCCTTCAGTCGCAAGATAATCAAGATAAACAACGGTAAAGTTTAAACTAGAATTATCTGATAGACCTGACGGAAGAGAAAGAAATTCATGAAAAGAGATAATTTTTTTTTTTTTTACTTTACCATCTTTTAATATATGTTTCTGCGGGACGGATTTTCTGGCCCTAAACGCCAATCGATCCCAAATCCTATCGGTTTTCACACTGTAATACACGTTCACGTCGCTCCAGGTGTATGTGATTTTATTGCTGAAATTTTCATCGTTGAAATTCACGCCCGTCGGTGCGTTTGAGATCGGTCTAAGATCAAAAGAGCTTTCGAAACTTCCACCGGGCAACACATCTCTTTCGTTTCCTTCCTGTAACGATCATAAACGTAAATGCCGCTTTGATATTATTTTAATTAAAAAATAATTTGCCGCAATTTCATATGTCAATTTTATTTAAAGATCATATTTTATCATCTTCATTAAAGAAAGATAATTAGTACGTCGTCGATAAGATAAATAAATTTAATAAAACCAACAAATATTTTCCGTGTGCGTGTTGAGTTTAAGTACACATTATATGTGTGTGTGTGTGTGTGTGTGTGATATCAAAATATAAAATTAAAATATTTACGTAAAATGAGCTCAAACAAATTTGTGTAAGAGTCTCAAATTAAAAAAATTACTTTTATCACCGCTCGATAGAGACAGAACACAACGCAATTACGTTACACGATGTTTTGCTCATTATACTTACAAAGGAAATTGTATGATAAGTGACTCTTTGATTTTTATTGGCAGAAGATACCGGCGTCGTGGATATTAACGGCTCCGTTTCCTCGGTAGCCGTCATTCTCTTATAAGACTTCGCCGCTTCCGACAGACACACTGATTTAAATAGGACAGATCTCTAATCTAATAATAGGCAAAATGCGATAATTATCGCATAACGTCGGCGACAATTCTCCGAAATGATCGATGGAAATTCAGACTTCAAAATCAATTTTATTTACAACAGACACTGTGTGATCGATACAGAATATGCACGTTTTGCACGTAAAATTACATGAGTTCTGATGAGTGTTGCGAGACGATGCGGAAAAAAAAAAAAAAGAAAAAAGTTAACTGGTTACGAGTGATTATCGCCCGAGACAGAGTGCTAATGGAAAATACGCTCGAAGAGATCGCTCGTGGAACGGGCCCGGTTTCTTCTCTCCGGTATCGCGAATGCTTGTACACCTGCGTACAACGTGAAGGGAACGTGCATACATACATGATATATATATGTGTGTGTGAGTCGAGATTGGTCAGAGGATAAACGCATACCCCTCTCCATATTCTCGTATTACATATTTGCAGCCCTGTCTACGCTTCGTGGTGGGGCCCGTCGCGAGATCCGCCTATAAAATCAAAAGCGGCACAGTCGAGATAAAACAAAAAAAAAAGAGAAAAAAAATAATAATAAAAAATAAAAATCAAGAGACTTCGAGATGTATACGTGCATTAGACGTATTATGTGTAATGTTATGCGTATAAAGTTTTCCTTTTCTCGAATGATTTTTCAAATACGCTAATAAGAGGACGATGATATGGATATGCAGCATTGACGCAGTCCGCAACATTATTTATTTCATCCTAGTGTATTAGAGATCATTATCTTATCTTACATTGTGAGGAGCGCGCATACGGTCGTGTTTTAGAGCCGTTTTAGAGAAGCGTAGCGGTCTATTTACGTAGGACAGCGCTGAAGTATGAATGGCCTATTGATTTAACTATCGCTAGTATGTGAATGATGATGATAATAATAATAATGATGATGATGATGATGATGATGATGATGATGATAATATATTGCAGTATATTTATCAAAATATATATCTTTCATAGAGTTTTTTTTTTTTCGTTATTTTCGCGTATGTGTATTTCAAACACGATATCACGCGTGATAATAATTAGGAATTTTTTTTACTAGTCATCAGTACGAAATATATCGTTACTTTTCTGTTGATCGAGATGCAAACTTTCGAACGTAAGAAAGTCACGTAAGAAAAATATCTTCGGTTGGCGGAGCGCACTTACACAAATCGGCAATTAGTTCGCAGTTTCTCGCGCAATCGTGTTTAAGAGAAATACTGATTATTTCGATCAGGATCGTCCAAGGCCGATCGTTTGGTCGTGATGCTTTTACCGGTGCTATTGTGGGCAATTTCGCAAAATAGATATTGCTTTGGATTATCACACTGTCGTTGCCTATGTGACACGGAGCAAACCGTATCACTCATTTACTCACTATCAAAATGATTATCCAAATTCTTTCGCTTTTCCAAATTAAATAACATTATGGCTCATGTCTTTCCGTATCAAATACAAAAAATCTCCATTTCGTTATATGCAAAATCAAAATTAATTTCTTCAGGTTGGCGAGATAGCAATATTCAGTGGTGTTTATTGTTCAAAGTAACAAATCACATGTATATCATCACAGGCTTTCGGCATGTCATCATAAATGATTTTAGAATGACGCCTAATTTAATAGATTTAATCCATCAACAAGATGAACTCTCGAAATAATCTTGACAGATTAATTTTATACAATTTAAAATATCGAATTAATCGATGAAATTCAGAATGTGTTTTGAATCAAAGTTTTTTAATCAAGGAAAATACACAAAAAAGTTTTTGTTTGATATGTACCGTACGTCCGTCATTAAGAAAGTACTATCATATCGAACGTAGGCATCGACTGCTTATGCTGCACAAAATAGAGCTTCAAAACTGTACGAGTCTAATATATTTGAGTCTCGAGAAATCATTCTCTACTAAATCACCTCTGGCTTTCTTTCTCGACAATACGAGCGCAATGTCCACTGATGCTAAAAGCAACGATCATACAGTCTCAAATACTGATTATAGTCGTCGATTTCCAATCCTGACGACAATGGCTGTCGAAAAATGACAGCTTTATTTTCCTTCTTCTGAAGCCTCGGACAAGCCAATGTGCTCGCCAAATGTGCCGCAGCGTCCTGATATTACATTTCGCAACGCGAGGTAATGTTCGATGACGTCATGACGGTACTTATTAAGTGCGTAGGATCTCTCACGCGCTGTTGGCGATTGTTGCCGTTCATGTAGTCTTATTGTTCTTAGACATATTATGCGACGCCCAATTCAACGACGTTTTCCACGAGTTACAGAGGGCCTCGTCGAACTTACTTCTAAAGTGTTTTTGTGCCTCGCTTTCGGACATTTCTAGGACCTGTAAACACATTTAAATACATTAATTCATATGTACTCGTTATTTTACTTATATCGTATGTATCCGATAGCCGCCATACCAGGGTATCTCTAAGATAATTCAGATCTTTCTCCGACGAGAGTTCAGGCAACCCAGTAGATATCATCATAGCGAATAGAGACAGTATAAGACCTCCGTGTTGGCGCAGAATGAGAAAAGCCTGTTCACAATGACTCTGAAATCTTTGAAACTCGGCGGCGTGCCCCTTTTTCGTCTGACCTTTATTTATGACATGTACAAAATCGTTGGTTAGAACGAAGGGTACTCGTTCGCGTCTAAATCCGAATTTCTCCTTAAAATGGCCCAGAATATGACCAAAATCGACATGAAATAATTGTCCAGTCTTTTTAACCATTATATTGTCAGAATGTCTGTCGGCTATCCCAAGAACATATGTTGCCACGCAATAACCTGCGCAACTTAAAGTGAATTCCTCGATCGCTTTATTCAACGCCGATTCCGAGTGATTGTGATCCTTTAGCCAAGCTAACAAGGAACCCCTCCTGTAAGAACAGACAACGATAAGAAATCTCGTCGATGTATGTTCATCAAGTTACATCGATAAAGCTTTATTCAACCTGAAGGCCGCTGTTGCGGAAAACGTGCCCTTCTCCTTTTGAATATTCGCGATCGTTTCCGCATTCAACACCACCTCTATCATCCCGACTCTGCTCTCCGTGGATATGCAACCATATGGATTCATACGTAAATCTAATCCTTCCTTCTTCCAAATCTTATCCATAATACGGAGCATCTGGAGGGTCAACATATCTTGCCTCAAGTCATCTCCGTGCTTAAGAATTAAATAAATATCTTCGGCGAAAGGATCGCTGTTCTCGAAGACTAACCAAAGCGGACGCATCTTACTGTCCATTACCCGGCATTTTTCGACTCTAGCGAGAAAAAAAAAGGTTGAAGGAGAAGGAAATAAGCTCACATTCAACAAATGAGAACAGTGAGCTCACTTGATGCGATTCCATCTGAAACTAGGATCAAGAGGATTAAGAACGTCGGATATCGCCTCTTGACAGTGCGTTTCCTGAATGAAATCTTGGAAGCCTTGAAGAGCCGCCTTACGGTCTTTCTTCTGCTTCACCTGTTCCGAGACACTCCTCAACTTGTCCAAACATTTCATCTGCTTATCTAACGACCGCATATGCTGTTGACTTCCTCTGCAATATGCCTCCAGGATGAGACCGAAGCGAACGGATACTGCACCAACCTGCATTTCTGACCTGATACAATTTTCAGAAAATAAACAATGAGTAAATCGTAAATCATAAGAGGAGCGTAGCTCCGTGTAGAAATGTGATCGGATCCCAGATTTAATCGCGATTTTCCGAAGAAATTGTAAAATATAATAGATATTGTATATAAAATGTCACTAACCTGAGATGCCAAAATAAAAAGTGTCCTATTCTTTGATTATTAAGTGCCCGCTTTAAGAGGAACTCTGTCAAAGGACACGCCAAATAATTCTCGTGTTTTAAGGCCTGAGTCAGTTGCAACAAATACAGGCTGAGATCGTCATCGGTAACATCTCTTAAACAGCGAACGGCAAAATTTCTGACATTTTGATCAGCGTAAGCATAATCTAATAATTCTAATGCTTTTTCTACTGACAATTTCGGCCATTGTTGTATAAGCGCTGTAGCTTCCGCGACTTCTCTATAAAAAAATAATTAAAAATAAGAATCATAATTTATTTATCTTTTTGATAACTTTATAACGACATATCAGTTAATTTCTTACCTATGATCGTTCCATTCTACACATTGCAACAACTTCGCTAAAAGTGTTGGGATCTCACGGAGGCAATGATGCCTTAATGCCCACATCGTTTTCTTTTCTTGTTCGTGTAATTCGTGTAGTGGATCCCTGTCGGCTAGCAATCTTAATTGTTCTAATTGTTGACTAACATCAGACTCTTGATTTAATTCATCTTTAGCTAAGCGTTCATTAGATTGTTCTCGCAAAGTTTGGGCATATTCAACCATTTTCTCCGGCGTAGGATAAAGAACACATTGATCCTTTCCGTAGCTAAAAATAAAATAATAAACCAAATGTAACGCACAATTACTATTTTTTTTATATTGTAAATTTAAAAATAGACAATTACTTTGGAAATGTTAACATGAGAGCAGCTGCTCTATCTATATGTGGATTAGAAACTACTGTCCCGAGGGGATGAAGTAAATCATCATTCTGTATATCCTCCGCATAAGTCCATGTATATAACGTCATAGCACCCGTTTTTAATTGCGACTTGAAATCATATATCGTCGTATTCGCCCAACATAAAGGATTTATAAAAAACTCCTGCTTGGAATCCCTTACCAATTTCCGGCTCTTTAAACCTTTCGCAGTTTTACTAATTTCGTATAACACGAAGCATAACCGTGCCATTCGCGGTATATCTCTGACTTTAATGTCGAATTTCAGAGTTTCTTCCCATTCGCAACTACCGTCAGAACTTACAATAGTTTCTTTGGTTTTTTGACTTTCACAGAGGGATTTTCCACCGTGAAAAAGGCCAGCTTGTAATCCAATCTACATAAAAAAGAGAAAATTACAGTTTTTTTTACAAACTTTTTTTTAAATTCCAATCTTATTTAAAAAGAAATATCAGACTAAAATATACCTCTACGGTGCGATGCGCAGCATCGCAGTTAAGTCGAGAAATTCCATTTACGGTAAAAACAAAAGGCTCCTCGATTTTCCACGCCGAGATATGCTTGCCCTTTTTACGTAATGTCAACGTGGAGGACGACGGTTTCGTACGTTGCAACGTATCCACGTCCGGATTGTCGAAGGCGTAATCTTGGTCCATGGGTACGCTCTGCTTGCTAAGCGTAACCAACATCGGCACAACGTCTTTCGCTAGGCAATCTTGAATATAGCTAAATTGTATAAGCGGAATATTATCGCCGATTAAATATTCTTCCTGTCCGCAAATTTTAAGCGTAAAATCGTTTGGTTGTTCGCGAATCTTGAGAGTATTTGCCCTTTTGTTCAGGATTGTCTCGAGTAATTCGGGAGGCGTAGTGGTATGTGCTATTTGAAAAGTAAACGATATCTGAAACAAATTGGCAATTTTCGTGAGATTCCTTTAGTGGATATTACTTACGGTAGAAAATACTTTCACCTTACCTCTGACTTTTCGAATGTAGTAACTAAAACAATATTTCCGTCTTTTAAACGGGTCTCAATATTCTTAGGTATGGTAGGTGTTGGCGCTATCCTCGAGGGGAACTGATAATGCACTTTTTCCGCCCAGCATTTTTTCTGTCTACTTAACGCCACATCGTCCCCCAGGACTCGCATTTTCCATCTGAAGTCGTTGACCTCGGAATTTTTCAAGGCAGCAAACTCGTGCAAGCCTTTTCCGATTAAAAGACCAATTTTTGAATCTAAATTTCTATCACTTTTTATACCTTCGCGTTCTATAACTTTTAATATCGAACAAAAGGGCTTTATATCACAGAGACGTCTCGTTTCATCTCGTAACTCCTCTATCTCTGCGTTTGAATTGATACAGGAAAATACATATGACGGCGCATCTTTCAATGTTCCGTGAAGAGGATATTTACTAGCCTCATCCCACAGATCCTGTTAAATATCATTAGGTTTATACTTTTGTATGATTACATAACAATTCTTTAATCATACAATTTAAGATTTATTTCATAAATCTTAGCATACATGAATATACATTTTGCTCTTCCAACATATTACATATATGTATGCATTTAAACGGTGCAAATTTAAATAAATGTAAAATAAATATATTCTAATATTTCATGTTTTTTCATGTTTTTAATAACATGTGTTTGAGATGCATTTATCAGGCCTGCCAATATTCTGTAACTCTTAATAGTATTATTATTATATATGTAACAAAATAGAAGAGTTTTGATATAACAATAATGATGCTGCCATGTACATTAAGAGTGCTAAAGCCTGCTCTTTGTCGCAGGTAGAACTTTCTATTTCAATTTCACTAAAGTTTAAATATTTATTTCAGGTATAAATATACCCTAACTCAATTACAAAAAACAGACCTATAGAATATACCCATTGTTTCTTATTGTCATGCTGAGATATATTCAGATTTTTTTCCATATATTCCCATATATCATTTTATTCTTATTTCACTAATCATTCAGTGAATAAAGATAAATGATACATAGAGATACTCAGGTAGAAAATCCAAATATCCCTTGAATGGCATTAAGACCTTTCCACTTTCATCAAACTTATCAATATATCCATTCATTTTAAGTCAAAAAAATATGTACTATTTCAGTCATAAAAAACAGATTTATTACAAGGTAATATATTTTGTTTTTTGCTCTACAACCAAGATACAAATACAATTTTTTACATCCAGATCATACATCTCTACCATTTGGCGAATCATCAATGCAAATGTATATTCGAGTGGTACAATTAAAGGAAAAGAATTTTCCTCCTGCATATTGCATATGCAAAATATTTACCTCCTTGATCTGATCTAAGGTAATATTGCGATTGATCTCAAACGGTATGACCACACCGTTTGGCATCAGGCACGTGAGTTCCACCACCGTGGGTTCCTGGACATCTCCGGGCCTCTCCGCCCAAAAGTTATATTTATATGCATTCGGTATGTTACCATGCACCATGATGAATAACAAAATCGGTACTCCGTCAGAGGCACAAGCAACGCGCACGTAGGGCGTACGAGCACCACGTACGTCAAGATTCTGTCACATCACAGGGGGAAACGGAGGCGTTATCAAAAATACCTCCTGAACCGTTCATGTCGTTTGACGAACACGCGGTTCATCCTTCCCATTTGCGGAAGCGGGACAGATCGACGGGGTGTCGTAACGTCAGGGAACTCTCTCGATGGGTATGTCGCTGTTTACTGTAAATTACACGGCCGCGAGATCTTCCAAACTCTCGCGCAGCATCACATCGCGGTGATCTCGCTGAAGTCACATTTGCGATATAACGCGGAAACACATCTCAACTGGTGAGTCCTTCAGACAGGACCGATATCTCGTGCGCTTACGTACTAAAATACAAATAACCATTATCGTCCACACGTAATAACAATGCACAGTTCCGCCATTATTTATCTCGATTCAACCAGTGACGACCGCAGGCGACTTGAGCACAGTCACAGTATATACAGTAGTGCAACTCTCTGTCGGCATCTTTGATGTCAGTGTTGGCCAAGATAGAATGCGCATGCGTGAAATAAGTAAGTTAGTATCGCCACCTGAACTTTCTTCCTCGTTTTAGGGTTGGTTTAAGCGGCGTCTACAATGAGATTTTAAGACGTAAGATTTTAAGACTTAAAAAATTGACCAATCATAATCGATTTATAGAAGAATAATTACGCAGGTAATTGGTCAATTCCATTACTTTCGAAATATCAATCTTTAATATATAAATGTAATATGAATATTTTAATATATAAAACATTTCTTAAAATATTTTAAAATTCACTTCTCTTTTACAAAATAAATTGTTTGCAATTTTAATATATAATAGTTAATATATTTATAATTATTTAAACTTTTAGTTTTCATGTGAATTTAAAAATACATATATCTGAATATATATTTTCAGGTACGTACTTCTTCCATTTTCCTGGCAACATCATTTCAGTACAAGAAGCGAGAAAAAAATCATGTGACATCTTATCCTCCTTACAAGAAGTAAATAAAAGAATTAAAAAGAGAACTTCAGCTCAAGAGTAAAGAAGGTGCCAGAGAGAAAAAAGTTAATGAGAAACTCAAAGAAGATAATGAAACATTAAAAAGAGAACTTCAGCTCAAGAGTAAAGAAGTTGCCAGAGAGAAAAAGTTAATGAGAAGGTCAAAAAGAAATATAAGTGCATTGGTGAAAAAAAGCTTGTCGGAAAAGAAAGTATATGCCAAATAAAAGAAAATTATGGACCTGCTCGTAGATGAATATGAGAGTGCGTTGACAAAAGAAAAAGATATGAACATTACGCTGTCTAAGCAGATTGAAAATACCAAACTTTTTGGAACTCTGGATTTATTTCTAGACAACAAATCCAATTGTTATATTAGAATTACTGATTCAAGGTTTTCCAATTCAGGGTACAGAAACGGAATCCGAATTTGAAAATTTTATATAAAACAAAACATTTCCTCGGCAAGCAGAATCTTGGTTGCTAAAAGTCTTTAATATGATATAAATTCAATTAATTATATTACCAACTACGTACCGCTTTGGTTTAGCAGACTTTCAATGTAGTGGTTCTATAATAATTCGATGATCAATATTATTGATATCGATTAAGATCCCTTTTATTATTCCCCCCACCGGAAATATATATTGCGAAAAATATCACCTCAGCCAAGGATCGAACCTGGATCGCCTACTTTCTGAGCTTGTTACGAAGGATTTGTACATTTTTAGTATTGACTCATCTTTTTAGTAAGGCAAGAGACCAACATGATATTTGGCGTGTATATAATTTTACGTCTCGCAATAATAATTGTTTTATATTATCGATTCCTTTGTTTTATATTATCAAGTTTAAATTTCGTGTGCATTTGACTGCACAGCATGCATGTGTAATCACTGAGCATGCAAACGTGATCACTGCGCATACTTAGTTCGCTGTATTATGTCGGTATGACAGATTTCCTAACCAAAAAAGTGATCAATTTTAACGCTTAATATTTCGGTTCGCGAGGTAGACCGCCACGTTTTTCTGCCAGATTTCTTTATTTTAAGTGAAATCGATTGAGCCTAATTTTATCAAAATCGGAGGTGAAGACCGTATTCTAAATAATTACCAATCAATCTTAAGTTTAATGAATTTTGTGTAGATAAGACATAAAAAAATTGATCAATCGCGATCGATTTTTTTTTTATAAGAAGTAAGGAGAATAGGTGATTCTGGATCAATTTAATTTCAACTTGTCCTGATTTACAATAGGTGATTTAAGCTTTAAACCATAAGAAATTGACCAATCATAGTCGATTAGTCTTCTATTCTTCAACTATTATTCGTCTATTTCTTATGGCTTAAGACTTAAATCATCTATTTTAAACCGGGACTTACAATTATAATTAAAATTTTTCATATGCAATGGCTTTAAGTATTTTTGCGTTAATTGAACTCTATTTTAAATTTATATTTCTATTAAAAGCTAGGTTCATTTAGCGCTACAAAAGCTTCGAAGCGTTTGATTAACCAATCAAAACAAAGAATTCTATGAATTGACCAATCAAAAAATGCTTCGAAGCATTTGTAGCATCAAGTGGACTGTACCCAAAGTTATATATTTCTCTCTCTCTTTCTTATTTCACAATGGTTAAAATAGTCAATGCAATTGGTCATTTTTTCTCAGGCGCATGTCATCACACGATTGATTGCCCAATAGTGTTTTTCCTTTATAATTTCCCTAGCCAATAGCTTATTATATGAATTGCATTTGAGAGTGTCATGTCGGATAGCTCCCAATATTATACAGGTTATGTTGCCCTGAAAATTAATAACATAACAATCACTAATTGCGTTGTGAGTCTGAATCGAAACGCAGCTTTTTCATAGCTTGTTATGACTCATAACGTCTGCGGTTACGAGATGATGCTGAACGATCCATTTGTCGAATGAATTCAAACATATTGGTATTGCGTTTTTGACAAGCCAGATACATTTATGAATAATAAAGCTAACACGTTTAAAGTTGTGTAGTGCAAACACTTGGGATGAAATGATCAAAAACGCTAATATATATAATTAGAGTAAGAATACATATCGTAGATATGTAAATTGTAAAAATTATATAATTTATAATAACAAAATCAGTATTGTTTATGGCAAAAAAGAAGAAAAGCTTTTATTTATTCTGTATTATTGACTAGAACAAAAATTTGATTGATCTCATTTTGTTTTCTTTTTAGTAAAATCAATGGAGATGCAAAATATCTTGAGATTAATGGCCATATTCTTTCTTCTCAATGCTGCAAAAACTGTTGCTTTATCTTTTTCATCTCCGTCTTTTTCTCCGATCGTCATTCGGGCTAAGTATGAAGACAGTTATCCAAAAATCATAAATTCCACTATCGAATATGTGTTTTTGTATCCTGCCAGCAATGTAAGTCTTATGTTCATTTCAATCAACATTTTAATCTTGGTTTAATTTGTTTTTTTTCTAAGGGTTAGAAAAAGACTAAAATTAAGTTAAATCAAGATTAAAATTTAACAGACAGTGGAAGAAGGAGGAATTAATGAAATTAATTTATTTATAAATATATTTCTTATGGAATAAAATTATATATCTGTAGATATCCCTGGAAACTGCAAGAATAAAAGTAGAAAGCAACGCTACTCATAGTTTACCATTGATAGTGGTAGTGCGTCAAACAACAGGTATTCTGTCCTGGCAAATACCTTTGTTAGTCGCTGGCACAGATTTTGACACTGTGATATATAATAAGACAAGTCGTACTCTGTGCTCCACCAAGTATTATCGATATTCGCGAAATAATGAAGAATTTGTCATTGTTGGTATCTCAACAGCGAGTTATGAAAATATCTTTTTCAATATCAGTGTAGTAGAAGTGACAGACTTTTATTTAAGGTATTACTATAAAAATGTAAGATTATCAAAAAATATAACTTGGTCATCTTTTATATTTAATCTTTGTAGTTCCGGAAATAAAGTAGAAGTACAGATATCTCCATCTGAACCTATATATTATGGCTACATCTTTTCGAAACAAGAGAATTCCTCCGTTATTGTTCGCGTTGAATCAGACAATGATATCTGCATGACTGTGTCTGTACAAAATACATCGGTGAGTTATAATGATACAAAGTCTGATCTTTATAGTTGATGTAGTGTACACTTGTTTTATTTAATAAAATAAACTAGATACATGTTTGAAATTTGACCAAAATGAAAAGAAAGTATTAGTCTGGCTTATAAATCTCTGTATTTTTTCCTTTAGTGTCCTGTATTTGATTTGGAACGAAACATTGAGTTTTCTGGACATTGGCAGACTGTGAGTAGAAGAGGCGGTATCACAGTACCGGTGAATATATTGTCATTAAAATAATCTTTTACAAAATGTTGGATGTATTTTATATATAAATATAATATAACATACAATTGTTATAACCTACTGTTATAATGCAAATAGTATAATCAATGTTATAATCAAATAGTATATAAATTATTACAATATACACAAAATTGTAATTTGTTTCAGAGAGAGGCTTATCCATCAGGATTCTTCGTTGTACTTGTCGTTAAGGGTGAAGACAGTGACTGCAATGGGCTGTCTAGTAATAATCCTCTTCGTATTAAAAACGTTACGTTAATCGTGAATCCTACCATTACCAAACGAGACTATGTTATTGCATCGGCGTCAGCAGTGGCGATAGTATTAGGTTTTTGTATTTTTTACATCATAGCCGTGATAGTATACAGTATCAGAGAAAGCAAAAAACTTGCAATGCAGGAACCGATTAATGAGCAAAGTCAAGACGTTAATGAATACGCGCCGAGTCCATCGATGGTAGGAGAGGTAATTAATGAATCATCGATACGAATTTCATATGAGTAATCACACAAAATCTGTGTAATCTGTGTAATTCTTGTAAAGACATTCATAATAATTTCAATCGAAATATATCGTTATAGAATAGTTCAAAACAATGGGATTCAGTCGAGGAGGATTCATCCCTGGATGAGGATGATATAGATCTGATGGAGGATGCTCTCTCTGATAAAGACGTAATACGAACGAAGAAAATCCTCTCTGTTTGTGATCTTGCTCGCAAGGATCCGAGGATACTTCGACATAAATCTCGCTTATATCTATATTACTTGGCAACCGTCGCGATATTCTATACATTGCCAGTCGTGCAGCTGGCGGTAACGTATCAGCGTGTGCTTCATACAACTGGAAATCAAGATATGTGTTACTACAATTTCTTGTGTGCCCATCCATTGGGTCTACTTTCCGATTTCAATCATGTGTTCTCAAATTTCGGATATGTTACGCTAGGTTTACTATTTATATTTTTAACTTCCTCTCGCGAGCACAATGAGCTAGATAAAGAAAAAGTCAAATGCTACGGCATACCGCAACACTACGGTCTATTTTACGCAATGGGCACTGCATTAATAATGGAAGGCATATTGTCGGCGAGTTATCATGTGTGTCCTAGCCGTAGTAATTTTCAATTCGGTAAGTAGCATTAATCATAAAATATATTTCGTTACGCAATAATTAATCAATTTCTTTGTCCATTCTAGACACAAGTTTTATGTATGTGATCGCAGTGCTGTGCATGATCAAAATTTATCAAAATCGCCATCCCGATATAAATGCCAGAGCGCCGGTAACATTTGGAATGTTAGCTGTTATAATATTCGCAGGGTTGATCGGAGTTCTAAATGGTTCCAAATGCTTTTTAATAATATTTTCTATTTTGCATTTGCTAATCTGCTTCTTTCTAACTGTACAAATATATTATATGGGGCGATGCAAATTCAATCGAAGCGTTTTTAAGAGAGTAATACTGGTAAATATTAATATTGTCTGCACTGTGTGTATATATACGCGTAAGACATATTCATTATTAATATCTTGCAGAGATTCAAGCATGAAGCACGCTGCGGCATATGGCACTTATTGCGGCCACTTTATCCCGCAAGATTCATAATGCTCGTGTTAGCAAACATGTGGAATGTTGGTCTCGCTGTATATGGAAATATGTATCAAGAGGGCAATTTCGCTACGTTTTTATTGGCTATATTGATGTCCAATTTAATTTTATATACATTCTTTTACATTATGATGAAGGTATAAACATTTTCTTGTTCTTTCTTCCTTTTCTGCGGCCACAAAAACTTTTTAATATCAATACGAAAATTTTTTCTAGCTTTGTCACAGAGAACGGATTCTTCTCATACCTGGGATTTACATCATTTTATCTATGGTATTCTGGGGAGCAGCTCTGTACTTCTTCGTAAATAAAACTATTTCTTGGGCTCTTACACCAGCCCAATCTCGCCTTTACAATAAACCTTGCGCGTTATTGAACTTTTTTGATTCTCATGACATTTGGCATTTTCTTTCCGCATTAGCCATGTTCTTTTCATTTATGGTATTACTCACTTTGGATGATGACCTAATAGATGTACATCGGAGTCAGATACCAGTTTTTTGAGGATTTTTTACTGCGTAGGTTTGAAAATTATGTGAATTTTAGAGTTTCTTTTATGAAGTTTTTCTCGGATATAGGTGATATACTATTCACATAGCAACTTTACCAAAAATTGTATAAAATATATAAAAGCTTAAGAGAAAAAGAGTGTATGTGTGCGTGTGTTTTTCATGATAAAAACGCGCAGTGAATATCATCTGCACAAGAGAATTGCGCGGGATGTCGAATTAATCCAACTAAACATATAAATGCATACAAGATTCAATTAAGTTGTCTGTTAAAGATTAATAAATTTTAATTGCAGCGTTTCGCAAACATTTTATAAAGAATGTGATAATATTTGAAAAAGAGAAATGGATATCTTCCGCAAACGTAGAAAGAAAAAAAAAGAGATTATTGTTACATGAAATGTATACATTGTTTTGCATCTATTATGAGATAATGCTATTTAAATGCGGCAGTTGCGCGAGCATATTGTTTCGTGATGTCAAAGTCTTACAATGTTTTCCTTCAAAAAATAAATATACATTTTTTATATATTTGTGCGCCACGTGTGTATATATAATTTATATACAGTATTCCGCATTTTTAGTAACGCATGTTCTTTCAGATACACGTACAGGATGTCGCAAATTGCGAATGATATCTTATTATCAAAAAGTATTACAACAAAGAATGAAATTAAAAATTAAAAAAATATGTCAAATTAACATATTGTTGTAAATAAATAAATTAACTATTGTTTTTTATAAATATTAATTAATTTACTTTAATAATAAAAGTAGTAATAAATTTTTAGATTTACATTAGACATAAAGGTATTTAATTTTTGATTGAAATTGATATAGAAATGATAATCTAGCGGATTTTATGGGAAAATCCTGGAAGAATTTGTAGCTGAAGGAACGTGCGATATTTCGGGTATAAACCTTTCTACTCCCATACAACTACAATTCATAAGCCTGTCACAAACACAGAGTGGCAACGCGACATGCTTTTCTATTGTTCTCTAAATACATATTTTCGAATATATGGAGCGTTTTGTATCACAGAAATCACGAAATAATTTAATATGCTAATTAGACACTATCCTAATGTCTACTAATCCCTCGAATCACCAATTTTTAAATAAAAATTTTTTAAAACTTAAACCGACATCGAAATAATTCGATTTGTGACGTCAAAAAGAAGTCATGGTTATGTCTAGATCCATCGAAATTTGAATCTTACGAAACACTCTATTCGAAATACCTATTCTTATTAACCCTTAATACCACGATATATCTAGATTGATATGAATAATTATAAATCTTTGATAATGACTTGTACTATTGATACGCATTCAACATTAATAAGCTGGAATGAATAGCGTGGAGCAGGTACGCTTATATGAAGTGCATTCAAGACGAAACGCTCGAGTCCTTATGATGTTCCTGTCCCGTTGTCTCTATTTGCGTTAAAGTTCTTTGCAACTCCGTTCGCTCGGCCGGTTGTAATCTGTGTGCGATTTCCAGTACCACGTCTAATCTTATTTCCGGACAGACTTCTAGAGCTTCCTTGATACGCGTTACCACCGCATCTCTTTTCACGCACGTTATATTACGCGAGACGACACTGTCGTCAGTTTTGCGTTGCGTCTCCAACCAACAAGCCGCAGCTTCGTCTTGATCCCACAAGTACGATTCCGTTGCTCCTTTATCCTCGATGAACCAGCGCCGAAGCATCGCTTCCACCTGTCTAACATCGAGGCTGGGCTGCGTCGATAAGATCTCATTCTTAATCTCATCCTCGAAAAGTCGTCGTCGCAACCGCCAATAAAGTAGTCGACGTGCCTTTTTCCATGGTATTATCTCGTGGATCGTATTCTTCTCGAACATTCTCTCCGGCGTATCGTGCAGATCGGCGAAATGAACGGCGACCTGACGATACATCGGTTCCAAAGCCTGCTCGCGTTTACGAATCTGTGCTTCGATCTCGGTTCGTTCCTCCACCGTGTTTACGGTTGACAATTTTTCCTAGAAACATACTAGTGAGTTTATGTAAACCTATCAAAAGTTTAATATAAATCATAAAAGACTCCTTACTTTTAACTTCAATATAACGTGATCGACTCTGTGCATAGTTTTCACGATGTCCTTGTTACGAAATTTGATTTCTACTATCGCGTCGGGTTCCAGGACGCCACCTCTACTAGTGTTATCGGCAAACATTTCCATGAAACGTTGATTTATCATAGGATCAACGACCGCCCAAGCGCCGCCTCTGAGTTCCCCATTCGGTGGGATATAAACGAATATCGGCTTGCAATATTGCCGCAATCCGTCCACAATATACGCACCGAACTTGACAATCTGTTCGTACATATCTGTAAGCGAGACAATTAGTTTTCACAATTAGCAAATTGAGGCAACGGTTAATTGACCTTACCTTTCATGCCGCCAGAGAAACCTCTCCAATTGGCAAAGATAAATAGCGGCAGGTCTTCTCTACCGAAATCCTGAATAGCCTGAGCGGTTTTGTACGCGCTGTCCGGAAACCAAACCTGGCCCGCCTGAGATATAGTCTTGGCCTCCGAATCTAAATTGGCAGGATCGGCTGGTAAATGCAACTCGACGGTTCTCGTTTCAACGGCGATAATGCCGCATGGTATACCACCAAGCCTAGCGCGTCCCGTCACCACCGTTTGTGCCCACGGTCTCATGATTTCCTATTTCGTAAGACAAAAGCAAATTAACAATATATTTTTTTATAAAATCCTAATGTGAGAAAAAAAAAGAAGAAAGAACCTACATGCCACGAGCCCCGATCAAAGAAGCCACTTTCCCATACGTTCGACTCGACGGTACAATTTCTGCCTTCCAGCATCCATCTCGGATCATACGGCGCTTTGGTAGGGACAAAAGCGATCTCTCGGTCGATCGGGTCTGCAACAGGCGATAGTATCGGCAACGGGGCGCCTTTAGTCTTAGGGAAGTAACTCAGCCATTTCAAGGCGGTCGCCACTCCATCCAGGTCCCGAGGATCGGTCGCGTGAGATACTCCGTTGTTGTGCATGATCTGCGTACCGCCCAACTGATTGTTGCTAGCGTAAACCTCGCGACCCAGCACTGCGTTCAACGCTCTGTAACCGGTCAGGATGATGTGCGAGTTCTCGATCTGGATTACTCTCTGGCCAAGACGCAGCAGGTAGGAGCCGATACCAATCGCGCGACAGGATACTATCGAGATCGTAATTATCTCATCGTAGGCCCTTGACGTCTCTCCCGCGATTAGACCGGCATACTTTAAGTTCTCGACACCTAGGCCGTCGTCCTTGCCGACGATATCCGTGATTTTGTAACGCGACTCTCCCGCGGGATCCTCGATCAACGAGGCTTTCACCGAGTTGTGAGGCGCCAGACGCGCGTAATCATCCGGTGTGAGGTATATGTATCTGAAGCCCTTCTCTGGCTCATTCTCGTCCTCCCATGCAATTCTGAAGAGCGCCTTCACTTCCTCGGCCAAGCCGATACGCGCTCCGGAATTAGCGGCGAAGTATATCCGCGGACAACCGAGCTGCCTCGCTCTCTCGGAAGCCCTGCAGAATACCAGATCCTCGCGAGGCCCGAACGAGCCTATCAGATACGTTAAATCGTTAGCGATAAGTATAATGTCTCTACCGAATGGATACTCCGGGGTGTACAGAGTGAACCGCCACGCGACCATGCCGACGTCGTTCTCGCCGGGCAGCCGCTTCTGCTCGACCAATTGTTCACCGTCGAACACTAATTCTACGACGTCCATCACTGGATTGGGGATCGTGATCCGATTTTGATCGTCACTCGGTGGCCTCTCCTCGACATATCGCTGCCACAATTTCTCGAGCTGCTGTCGGAACATGTCTGGCAGATCGTAGACGTAAGTCGTGCCGGCGCTCTGCGCCTGAAATCTCTTCGCCTGGAGGTAATCCTTGGTCAGATACGGCGTGGAGATTGGCAGCCCGTGCATAGGACCCGGCCTCCAATGGGCGTTCGCTGTGGTGGGTGGATAAGATTCGAAGCGAATGATGCCCGTCTTGGGATCGGTCGCTTCCGTGTAGAGATGCAGGTCGATGCTGTAACCGCTGTCGTTGGCGATGCAGAGACGCACGTTGGAGGTCGGTTTTCCTGGCGCGGGTCGTATGGTCATCTTTATCTCCGCCTGTCGCACGTGCAACTTCCACAATCTCGGCCCGTAACGCAGCACCATACTCGTCACGCTCTCCTCTATTCTGCTGGGATCCATAATGACCGTGGGTACAAAGTTCAAGAAGATGTGATTGCACTCGGTGCGCTTAGCGAGGGGATGCGAGAACGCGACCTCCAGCTCGTCCATGGCCTCGAGCAGAACGCGCTCACCCTCGTTATGAAGATAGTCGAAACTGGCCTCCTTCGTAATCAGGTCGGAGTGCCGTATAATCGAGCGGATGAAGAAGCGATAGTCCGTAACTTGTTGACCCTTGGCGACTTTGGCTTGCCCGAGATACAGGTGCATCTTCTGATTGGACGTCGGAAGAGCCTCGAGATCGTAGGTTCGCATACGATTCAGTTCCAATTGGAAGGCACAACCAGGCTCGAGATGTCGGTAGATTCTATCCTCGACAAAACCCTCGCGCTGACGGAAAGTGAAGAACTTGGGGAACTGTCTCTTTTTGAGCGCGGCGAATGTCACTCTTCGAATGCCGCGGGATATTAATTCGTCCTTGTTGTTCGCGCACCAATCTCCAAACATTTTGGCCATGGTAGCATCGTCCTCGGTGCCGTTCTCCTTGACTGCTATGCTTAGTATGTGAACCGGTTCGGCGGACTTATCATTGGTAGTCGTTGCCGTTGTGGTTGCGGTTGTTGTTTCAGTCGCGCTTAGAGAGACGTTGATCGATGTACTGTGACGTGACTCGCTACCAACGGCTTCCACTGCCTCTAATAGTTTTGCAGATACCATCGGCGTGGGGTTCGATAGATCCTCCAGCAGATCCAAGATCTCGTCTGTATATTGACTGAAATGATCAAGATTCTGGAAGGCTGCCATCGCACCGGCTCTGTGATCTACCAGAGACTGATTCTGACGATTTGGGTGATTGCTGGGTAAAACGAATTGGAAATACACCAACGGAATCTCGCCGGATAGTTCCAGGTGTTGTAGACACGTCAGCTCATAGCTGATATAGGCTCGTCGCACGTAGACCTCCAAGGCCGCGTTGCACACCGCGCGATTGGAATGATAGAAGAAATCGTGAAGAATATCAAAGATAGATGTCTCTGAGAGAATAAGTTTCTGCAGATTCTCCGGGTGGAAGTCGTGCCCGTACATATCTACTGCGGACAAGAATATGGATTCCATCTGATTATGCCTGAGTTCGTACGCAGGTTGATGGGCGGCGATCAACACCTGCCTAGCTCTCAGCGCGACGCGGCTATGTTCCGTACGATTCAGACTCGTTAATTCCGTCAGCGTGTTCGAGAGCTCGTCCGTAAGACCCGGTTCATTAGCCCAGAGATGGTCGATCAACATAGTGACCAGAACGTTTTTCTTCGTTACTTGATTATGACTGAAGATCATACCGGTCACGGTAGTTACGTCGTCTTTGTACTTTTCTATTAGCGCGGAGACGCACTTGTCGTAGTGACCCTGTTGGAACTGGCTCTCGACTGTGTAATACTGTCGCAAAAGTTCGTGCACGGCAGTCTTCATCCGACCACGTATACCGTTTCGGTATCTTTGTACTAACTGCACAATGGCTTGAGTAGTCAAGAAGAAAACGTCTCGCTCAGCTCTCTTGGATAAAGTCGCCGCGTGTCCGTCGATCACAGCGGCGATTTGTTGACTGGGAAACTGAGCCAAGATCGACGTGATGTTTCGCTCATACAGCGACATTAGTTTACGAATTTTCTTCTCGACTGAGACGGGGATTCTGCCGGATATCGTCGCAATCACTTCCTGCAGTTCCAACAATGGTAAGTTGGGATCGCGTAACGAAAACATGAACTTCTCGATTAACTCACGCAGACGCGGCAAGTGATATGGATCGGGGAGACAGTAGCCAGCCAACGTATTTTCCAAGGCGTTTCGATACTTGGTGTGAAGGTGATTCAGTTTCTCCGGTACGGCCGATGCCGACGCTGCAGGAAATTGGCCTGTGTATTCTTGTGCTTTTGTCACCAATGATGGATCATCCAAATCGAGATGCGCGATCAATGTACCGGCTTCCAATATAGCGCCAGGCCTCTTGACATAAAAGACACTTCCCGCCTCACTGGCGGTAACGGTCATTATCATCTTCATCACTTCGATTTCGGCGTACGCCTGACCGGCGCCAACGTGGCCGCCATCCTCGACTAAGAAATTAATCAACTTGCCGGCTGACGGTGATTTCAATAAGGACGGATCGTTGTCTTTTTCAAAGATACACGTCTGGTTACCAATGATAATCCTATAACGGTCCACCTCTTCGCGCATGTAAGTCGTAAAACTGGCGCCGTCTAATGAAAGCAGCAAGCCTCCATCCGACATGCGATGAATTTCGATCTCTTTATATGAACCATTCATCACCAGAAAATAGCTGTTCGGACCAGATTTGGCAGCCTGTACTTTATATTTGAATTCGTCGTTAATAAGCTCCACCTACAACATATGATATAATGAAAGAAAATCTTTAAACATGAAAATATAATCTATGACACAGAATT